GATCGTAGACTTCAATATTATCCGATTCAATTCCCAGCATTTTAGCCATTTCATAAAATATTTCCTTCTGTATAAGCTTGTCATTTTCAGAGAAGATCAACATCTTTGCGATTTCCTTGTTGGCTTTCAACTGCTCCAATCTCTTCGAAAGCTAGAAATAAAAGAAGAAGAAATCAATTAAATCACTATCAATACCGAGAATTAAGTTTGAGAGCAAGACAGAGATAATCAATGAGCATTTGCCAAACGTCTTCATTAAGCAAAGTGTCAACAATTCACTGATTGTAATAACTTTATTATAAAATGCATAAAATTACATCAACTACGCAACAGATAAAGAAGAATCATGAAAGTGTTAATCAAAAAGAGGGAAAAGCAGTCTTAATGAATTATTTTAAGGAAAAGCTGAAATTCATTTTTGTAAACTAGTTTTGAATGATTGCAGCAGCTATTATTGTTTTTGTATTGCAGGAAAATAAAATAAGTTACAAGTTATTAGTTTGAGGAAGAATTGATTTTTTCCTTAATTTTAACTGGAAACTGTTCAAATGGTGAATTGGTTTACAAACTGATTCAATTGCAAGGTTAGCTTTAGGTCCAATTGATGAGTTTATATTTAAATAAATTAACTATCACATTAAACGATTCAAATTCACTAATCATTTTGGGTTAAACTATTTTGTTGCATTTGGCACACGAATAATTATCATTACACTTGACCTGATTGTGTAAAGAAAGGGAAAGTTGAATCTAATTTGAGCAGAAAAGGCTATAAACGTAAACATTGATACGAATTAATACAATTTAACTGCCTTTCATGATATTTTTCAATCAACTAATCTGCTATTCTGCATAAACGACATTGAGCACCTCATTAGATTACATTAGTCGGCTAACAATTCAAATCGTCAAACAGTTAAGGCCTTATTTCGAAGTAAATTTTCTCCATTTTTTCAATAAAGTGCAATATTAACTGTTAGACACGAAGAAACCAGTTGATAATAAACTGATGATCAAGCTAAGGAAGGACTTGAACAGGAATAAATCAATGATTGTCACAATCAGGAAAACACAAATTAACCAAGAAAATTTACCGACAGAACAATTAAAGAGACAAAAATTGGCAAATTTTGTGAGTAATCAATCGGACTAAAACAATAGGATTGATCAATGAAAAAGTGAACTTTTTTAGTCAAACAAAATAAAATGTATGAAAAAATGGATGAGTTCAAGCTTTTGATTTGTGTTTCTTTGGTAAAAAATACAAATCAAGATTCAAGATGGATTAATTGCTATTGTTTATCTTATTACGTCAAATGTTGCGTTCAAAACAATAAGATTTTTAAATACAATTTGTATTTTAATATCCTGAAGCTGTCATGATAAGATTCATTGGAGCTTTAGTGAAATGTAAACAATAAATACAACATTTGTGTTTTTAAAGAAATGCTGGAAGACAGGCAAAAAGCAATAAATGTATAACTACCAATTGAGTTGTCAGATAAAACCAGAACAGAAAAGTGAAAGCAATAACGTAATTCAAATGTTTAGGAAATTTTGTTCAATTCAAGAAAGGAAATGAAAATATTAATAAATCTGATCATGATGAGCATCTGAAAAGAGTTATTTTCAAATAATATTTAATTCAATATCAGGGTCACAGGATTTTCCCACAAATTTCAACAATTTAACCCAAAAATTATTCAAGGACAATAAGCTGTATTAGTTGATTTTGTAACCAGACAATATAAATTTCATTACAGCAACAGATGCAATCCTTTTAATTGTAAATGATCAGCAATTTGAATCAGATAACTGAACATCATTAGTAACTAGTAAACACTAATTTTTCCAAAACCAAATAATGTGCAAATGATTAAATGATTAAATATTACCAAGTTTCAGTTCTTTAATATTTGGGAAACGTTTCGTTCCAGATAAAAATGTTCAACATTGATCTTGAACTGGAAACAAACCATAAATAGATTTGTAAAGTTAATAGTAAAGCTAGTTTATCGACATTAAGATAATTGGAATTGTGAAGAAGATGAAAAAAACTGGATTGAATTACTAAGGCTAATAAACTTGTTTCATATCCTATTGAGAAGCTATGGAATTTTTCAATTCTGTTTATTTTCCAATGAATTGCTATTTCAAGAAAATTCTGAAATGAAACCTTGAAAGTAAAACTGTAACTGATTTGAAGTCAAGATTGAAAGTTATGGAGAGGGCCAGAGTTTTGTATCAAAAATGGGGTGCAATGGAAAGTATCAAGATTGTTATGCTTAAATGGGTTCATTAATTATTTTCTGGTGATTAAATGTAATGATTATGATGTATTATTTATAAAATTCATTCAGTTTTTATGCTCATTGTATAATTATTGTAAATAAAACTTACTCTTTTGTAGTGACTGTGGTTGACTGTGGTTACAGACAAGAATAAATTATCCATGTTTTCCACCTTAACTGGACAATCTTGAGCGGGGAAAATAAGAAGCCAGGTTAATATAATGACATTACATTTGTTATACAAATTATACTGGACAGTGAAAAGACTTGGAAAGAGTCGCATAACTTGTGTAAGCTTTCTGTCTGGTATATTACCGGTACAGGTTATCACAATACCGGTACTTTTGATGGAGTGATCTAACAAGTATAATAGTGAAATAAACTTACTAGCAATAATGAGAACAGGTTTACCAAAATGTTTGATGAAGAAACGGAAAAATTTATACTGATAGAAGTAGGCTGATGTTTTGTCCAATAATGGATATTTCATTGCTTGGATTCGTCGATGACCGCAAGGATTAAGAAATACAAGAGATTTAAGGGTTGATCCATACTCTGATTCAAGAATGATTACTGAGGGATAGATTGATGATGAATGGCTGATCAGCATATCAATTCTGGTCAATTGAAGAGCTTTGAGAAAGTCTAAAATATATTCAGCCTTTTCCTCAGCATAATGTCCAAATTTTTTAGCCTTAGTCAAGGAATATGCTGAATGACAAAAGCAAAAAATAAGTAAATTGTTAATAGATGGTCAACAAGTTGGATTTAAATATTGTAAAGTAATGATGAATGTTGTAGCAACTTACTTGGAAAATTTGGACAAATAATGCGAATTGGATAACTGACAAGTCTTGATCGAAGTAGTGTGAAGTCTTGGTGGGAACCAGGCGCACCATGTAAACATAGTACAACCGGCAATGTGTTACCAGCATCTGGTCGAGTATCGATATATTCAACTTCTGTTGTGATACCCTTTCGAGGTACATTGTGGAACCAGCTTTTCTCATCTTTCCATTTTTCATAGAGAGAAGAACACGTTTCCACTTTAATCCTGAGAACGTTTTCGCTACAAATTTCACTATTTTCCGATGAACCTTTCATTATTTCAATAATTTAAGTTAGTGGGTTGAAAGACAAGTCGATGAAGATATGGTTTTAACAGGCAAGATGTTTGATGGCGATGAACAAGTGGAATAATGGTGTGAATGAATTGGTCCTCACAGTTGAACTGTTTCCAATGATCTTTATATTGTCAATTGACTCGAGATTGACGAAGCAACAATTTTCACTAAAAAAGACACTGAAAAAAGATAAATTAAAAACAAAACAATGACGATTGATGATGTCGAAGAGGAAGAGTGCAGAAGCTTTTAACAAAATTATAAAGATACCAGTTTTTTATTAAGTCACAGTTTACGTTGAAATGTCAGTAAGAATTGAAAAAAGTAACAAATGCTCTGGTTTAAGATAACAATCGAGTGAGACTAGAGCGTGTTGCCGAGCCTTTTGAGAGAGACGAAGAAAGGAAACAAAATTTAATGAATAAAAACAGATGAGAGGTTGAGCTTGACGATTATTACTAAGGTTCGTGAGGGAAAAAGGACTGGTTAGTTAGTCATCATGAAAGTGAGATTTAGAGGAAAGAAAAGTGTAAAACAGGGAAACGATTCAGTAAAGTCATGTCATGAGTATTCATACCTTTCTTTCTTCTTCTCTTTTAGCCAAACTTCACTTGAAAATAATATACATTTTGTTAAAGATGTTGATCGCCTTAGGCTAGTACATGAACTTGATTCTTCTCTTCACTTTTCTGACACATTCCTAAGTTAGAACTACTGTTTTTTTCTCACTTGAAAATTCAGCAAAACAATTAAGAATAGAAAACAAGGGAAATAAATCAAAAGATCGTATAAGATTTACAAACGCGCATAAGACAAATATTGATGAAATTTTGAGAGCTTTTTTTATTTTCCTTTGTTAGTAAACTTTCTAATTTTACGCAAAAATTATTAATACATTTGACGATAGATATTTTGTGATGAATGCGATTGATTAGTATTTCGTCGCCATTATTATTAGAGAAAGCAGTAAAGTAAATTCACTAATTGATAAGTATAAATTGCTTCGTTAGATTTAAGAGCATTTCGTCTTTTCCTTTTATAATTAAACAGCAATGAGTTCCAGTTGATAATCAATTTATTACAAATCGAATTTTCTTTATTAAATTGATTCGGTGGATTAAGAATTATGCAAAAAATGAAAAAGAGTTTTCGCTGATAAATAGCAGGAAAATCAGAGAGAGATAGAAAAAAAACATTGGCAATAATGAAGAGATCATCTACAAGAAAAGATGAACATCAGTTTGACATAAGACTCGATCGGCTCAATACATAACTAAACATAAACCGTACGTTCAGTCAAATCGATTCATGTTAAAATGAAAATTCTCTGAAGAATCAAAAGTAAATTCATGATCTAACAGCGGTAAATACGATTTGATACCATTGAAAAATAAACATATTTCGATGGACATTGAATAACATCGGTGATCGTTGATATTCTTGACAACTGCTTACTCCAATAAACTTCATTAAGCTACAAGGTGCGATGCGATTGAAACTACAGGACCAATTAAGAACCGTTTTACGAGTTCAGTTTTTTTTCTGGTGGTTTAATTGACCTCAATTTTTCCATTATTTGAGGAATCTGACTTCCACAAGAATCCAGAGATGGCCATTTTGGTTATAAATTAAGTGAAATATTCAACACAAAGATAAGAGATTATCATCATGAACATTGGCCGAAATATAGTCAAGTCGACGGAATCCATATTCCAATGAGTTGTGAAATATTCGGGAAGTCTCGAAAGTAACACATTCTAGATGTTTCAAGATTTCTGAAGATTAGAAGGAATAAAAATGTATTGATAAAAACTGATAAACTTACATGTATAAGATGATATGTCAACTGTTTAAAACAGTTACAAATGGTTCAGCTAAAATAGCCAAAAAGTAGATCTTTAAACAGGTATGAGACAGGCAAAACAAAGTTCAATAGCAAACGATAATAATCATGTCATCATAAAATTCAGCTTTTTACCAATTTAATAGACTAATTTAAAATTATCAATTTTTAATATTGTTAATCAATTTAGCAGCTGTTTATTATGTAACGTTAAAATAGCCATATTTTAGGACCAGAGGGCTAATAAGAGCTGGGATCATAG